GTGTTTCACATGATTCTGGGTATGTTTGCGAGCTAAAGAAAGCGTTATATAGTCTTAAACAAGCACCTCGTGCTTGGTTTGAGAAATTTTCTATTGTGATCTCTTCCCTTGGATTTGCTTCTAGTAGTCATGATTCTGCTCTTTTTGTTAAGTGCAATGATACAGGTCGTATCATTCTGTCTTTATATGTTGATGACATGATTAGAGGTGGAACAAATGGGCCAGGTTAGGCAGGTCAACCCTAACCCGGCTAGTAATGAAGCGGGTTTATTGGCGGTCCGAGTTGAACCTAACTTGGCAGCAACCCCCGGGCGGGCCGGCTTGCAAAATGGCAACCCACCAGCCCGACGGGTTGCTGTTTTGTCTCTCTAAAAGAGACCGCCAACCCGCCGGGTTGGCTGTTGTCAACCCGGCGGGTTGACCCGCGGGTTGGCCAAGAAAAATAAAAAAATTAAAAAATTTAATTAGTTTTTTCAAATTACCCCTTTACCCTTGAAATATAGCCGTTGGAGGGGTCTTTTTCGTCATTTTTCTTTCCCATTTTTTCTATAAATTGGCCCTAAACTCTCACATTTTTCTCACAACTCAAATTCTCTCATTTTCTCATATTCTCTAATCTCTAATCTCTCAATTATTCATTTATTCTCTTAATCTATTTGTTATCAATTTGCTCGTATTTTTAATTTTTATTAGTTTTTGCAATTTTCAATTCATATTTCCAATTTTCCAATTTCCATATTCCAATTCTCTTTCTTTGATTTTTATTTCTTCTACATCAATTTTTTTTTTCAACTACAATGGATAGATATTTCTCTCCCATCAATTACAATGATGAAGGAAACTACTATCCTAGTCCTAGTCCCACTGATTTTACTAACATAAATGCAGGAGGAGATTCAAATAGTCCCACTTTCTCATTCTCAGAATCTGATACACCTCAAAATATCCCCCCGATTCCAACAACTCTTGGTGGTTCTAGAAGTCATTCCCGTAATCATCGTGCTCGCCCAACTTCATCTCAAGCTGAGGCGGGATCATCAACTGTCGTCGAAAGTGAAGACAGACACACATCAGACATTTGGGCACATTTCGACAAGTTTTACAAGATAGAAAATGGCGTTCAATTCAAGAAAGCGAGATGCAAATACTGTGGAAATATTTATAAAGCTGATTCAGGTAATGGTACTAGTACTTTAAAAAGGCATGCTAATAAACATATTAATCAACATGGAAATAGAGAAAGCANTTTTTATATTAGAATTGTTCTCATGACGTTATATTATCTATTTAATATAAAAATATTGCTATAAATTTGTAATTATTATTAAATTTGTTAATTATAGCAATATTTATTACAATTAATTTTAATCGAAGCAATAAATTATAAATTCTTGACATAAATTATTTGTTCCATAGCAAATAATTATAATATTTAACTACAAATCAAAAGTATTCATAACAAGGAATTTCAATATTTAGCTATTAACACAATATGTCCATAGCAATATCTTTTTATATATAGATATGATTTTTATATGTCTGTAGCAAAAATTTAATATTTAGCTACGAATTCACTATATATATGTGACAAATGATCTTTTTATTTAGTTACGAATTTAGTGTTCACGTAGCCAAAATATTAATATATTTGTCATGAATATTATTTTCGTAGCAAGAATTTTAAAGTTTTAGTTATAAATTTATATTTGTGTAGCTAAAATGCAAATATAGCTATAGTGACTATTCTCCATGGCTATAAAGGCAAAACTTTTGCTACAAGCTTATTATTGTTGTGGCAAAAAATCCAAGTTTTTAGTTACATATTAATCTCATTTATAGCAAAAAATATAAATTGTTAGCTACGTAAGCAAAAAGTTACATGGCTAACTTTTAGCTGCGCCACTTTTAGCTACGATAAGCTACAAAACATTACATTTGTAGCAAACCATTTAGCTACGCCAATTCATATTTTTAGCTACAATGAATGTCATAACTAGAAATGCATAATGTTGTAGTTAACCTGGTGCAACACATGGGTGCTTGCCATAGGCGAGTTCACCGGACGGACCCACCAAAGGATTCCACATAGATGGTAGCCCCAGTGTCTATGGAATAAATCTTCTAACAGATAGTGGTGCATGTGATCCTTAAACTTGAGATCACTAGAGTGTTTTGTGTACCAATTGGTGTGGTTTGACACTAGCTCAACGTAGTTCTACTCAGAACTATCAGAACGATAGTGATTAGCTACATTGAGAAGTGTATTTAGACTATGGTGGATCGATAGAGGATTCATTACTTCTAGGTACATGAGAAATTATCTCACTGGGTAATTCGGTAGACAGCAACGACACTAAATCTGTGGCCACAGTGGGATTGAGTTGTAGCTCAATCTAATATATTATGTCGTTGGTCCAATAACCGAATACTGAGATATCAAGAATATCTGAAGTTGACACTGCTTCTGTGCCTTGGCCTTAATGAGATAATAGATGATGAAAGAATTAAATTGCACGGTAACTATATCGTTGATAGATAACGGTTTTGCTGAATCCGAATCTATCGAGTAATCATGATATCTGACTAAGGCCAATCTTGATCTACGTCGAGTGAGACAATTAATTGATTGTCAATCGCGATATTATTCACTACCGATACGATGAAGAGCCTTCGAGTTGCATACATAGATGACAAATTAAGAACATAATTTGTGATAGGGGTATTTTCGTTATTTATGGTAAAAAGGTATTTTGATAATCTCACGGTGTAATTAAATTTGTTGAGGTTGTTGCCTAAATTTAATTTCATATGAAAATTAAATTAGTGAGATTATATATATATTATCTAATATTGATAATATGAAATTCAAATTTGGTTTTTAAATTTGAATTGAAATGTCATGTTTGGGTTGCAAGGGGAATCTATTCCAATTTGGAATAAGTTGTTTGTTATTCCAATTGAAATAGATGGCTATTCTAAGTTGGAATAGGATTTTAGTGTGCACTTTTTAAGTGCAACTAAAAATTAAATCATTAAATGATTTTTGAGTTGCAAAATTGAAACCCTAGGCACCCTTCTCTCTCAAAATGCCTCCCCCTTTTGTGAGGAAAAGAACTTTCGTCACCAAGAAAAACTCTACTGTGATTTGTTCTTGATGTTGAGTTATCTTCCTAGTTTAGAAGTCTCTCAACGACAGTAGTCATGTCTTCGTGTGGATACCAGGAGTTCACTTTTACTTTGAAGTGGTTTGCGAATCCATCATCAATTCGAAGGAGCCTTCAACGCTGATATGAATATACATAACCTTTGATTTGATTTCTATGTATAAATAATGTAAATCAGCGTAACAATCATGGGTTAGCGTTAGTGGATCTTAACAAAATTTTTAATTTCCGTTGCCTTTAAGAGATCCGTCAACCTACAGTGGGGAACTCCTTCAGGAGGTGTCTTTCCCTGGTTGCGAGGGGTCTCTTCATTGTTGTTTACGACATATTTGTTTCTTTGATCCATTTCATGACCACGAGCCATATCGACTTATGGATGATTCTGAAAAAGAAACTAACATGTTCGTTGGTAAAAACAAGATTGATTGGAAGAACGTAAACTTACTGGATAGAGAGCTATTGTGAAATCAGACCCTTCTTCTAGCACCAAACTGTTGATGCATGATTTTGACACCAACGAAAAACGCACATACAAAGTGTTTTGAGTTTACACGTGAAGATGATTATGGTGAGTATTTGCGATGAAATGATGATATGTGCTTGAAGAAACGTAAATAAACAGTTGACATGAGAGATTTTAAAGTGGTTTGAATGCTATGAGCAAGTCTTACATTTACTGTGGTTGTATTATTGGCTTTCTTTTTTATCGTTGCTGAAACATACAAAGAGAGCGATCACTCGAGATTACAATATCGAAGTGTTCTAATAGAATAACAAGTCGATCTCTTTCTGATAGTGTTTCTTCTCTATTTTTTATGTAAATCAGTGTGTATCTAACCTTCTCTTTGAGGAGGAGAGCTGCTAATTTACACTCTTTTTAACTTAAAGTAATAAATGTTTTTGCAAATTGTCAGAATTTGGTGAAGATCTTCTTTTATCTTTCATCTCTATCCTCAAATTAAATAAAGTGTAGATAGATGTCTGTACAAAATATCCCTTAAGATTCACACAATTAATATGGTTTTGTCCTTAAGTGCTTGCTAGGTCCTGATTGGTGGAGATGCTTACTAAGCACTGATTGGTGGAGATGATGTCAGCATATTATTTTGGCATAACAAAACCGTGTGAGGAAAACTTGAGTCAATGATGTCAAAGACCCTATAAAATATAAATATCAAAGTTCGAAACGGACATTAATTTCCACCAAGAACTTTTTTCTTTTCTTTTTTCTCAGTTTCAATATGACTTTTATTAGATTTAACCAATTCATATAGTAAATTTATAACGTGTACTCAAATCCTTCCTCAATTTCTCGGAAGGAAAACCTTCATGGTAGCGAATAGACTTGTTTACCAGAACGAAGAGCAGTCAACCAATGAAGTGTTCAACGGTCAGAAACTATGTGGAGACGAAGACAATCACATACACTTTGAAAATAAGGATTAAAGCAATAAACAGGAATTAACTAGTTATTTAGTCAAGTAATGACGTTTATCTCTAATGGGGTTTGGTGGGGCATTGTGTATAATTTTATATGATGTATTATTGAGGATAATCATAATTAAAGATATAGCTTAATGTCATCTTCACATTTATGCAATCGGAATTTATATTTCAAGCAGTACCGGCACGACAAGTTTTCTTTTAAGGAGGAACTGTGAGATTGGCATAATTTATCTTGAATATTAAGTGATACCATGGTCTCATATATACCTTACTTCTCTTTGACTTAGGTTTTGGATCATGTTATTATGTAATCATATATGAACCTAGTTTATGAATATATGCCCAGATGAAAACAATCAAATACATAAAATAGAAAAATTTTGTATTGATTGAATCTATCAAAGAATTGTTTTACATCCGAGTGTGAACCTATGTATAAGACATAATGAAGAGACAAAGTATGAAAACATAAAGAGGAACGAAGAAATAAAAGTCCTCATGTAATCCTTAAAAGTAAGAATAATGGCACTAAGAAATAAATGGTCCACTTTGACGATCTCCTTTTTAGATCAATCCCATGATTAGAAGAATTTGCAGACTCCAACAATGAACTGAACTTAAAATTAGGGTTTGACCCATACAATTCCTGAATACCCTCCACGTCATCGACCTTTAGGTCCACCTTCTTTGCCCTTGGACTTAAACTTGGATACATTACAGCTTCTTTGACCGATGTGTGAGCCAACCCAAGTATATGCCCAATCTCATGGGTCGCCACCGATTCTAAATCAACCGCCACTTTTGACTTCACTGCTTTGAAATCAACGGCCCATGTTTCTCTTGCGTCAAGATGCAACCTCCCATTTTCTGGGGAGAATGAATGGGCCAGCACCCCTAAAACTCCATCAAACGGCTGTCCATCGCCGTGGTCACCCGAATAAAAACTAATCCGAATATTGGCTAATTCATATTCCTCTGTCTCCGTGAAATTCACCGGAATAACAGAAGACCACCGTGAAAAAGAACGCTTAAAAACATCCTTAATATCCGATAAACTTATGTAATCAATCGTGTTACTCTTCGAAAATGCGTAGGTTAACGTCAGCGGCGATAAACGCACCCATCTCGGCTTACCGTAAAAATATGAATAACGTTTTGTTGTGTGTATTTTATGCTCTTTGTCACTAACGCCACACCGTGGAGACATGATTGTTGATATCGTATCGGAGTCCAATTTTCCGGTTACGGGCAATCCCAGTTTTTGCTGGTACAAAACGACGGCGGATTGCATTTCAGAGTCGAAAACATCGGTGAAGTTTTTGTTCAAAACCGAGAGGTAACCGAAACGGTTCAAGTATTTCTTGAGTTCTGACATGCCGCTGACATGGCTGCCCTTCTCGATGTCAAGGAAACGAGCAAAGTCGTGCCACGTGGTGTTGTGGGTTGAGTTGTCGGTTATTACAGTTACTGAATCCGGTATGATTCTGGCGGGACATATAGGGCGGGAAAGAAAGAGGATGGTGAAGAAGAAGAAGATAGAGAAATGACTGAAAATTGGAAACATAATTTTGTGAGTTATGTTGGGATTTGATCCGAGGGCGGGAGGAATGGAATTGAATTGATACAATAGGAGTTTGTATTAATAGGAAAAAATTTTATGATAAAGATAAATAATTAATTGTATATTTGAACTAAACTAAGATAAGATGGAGGAGCAAGAAAATGATGAGAAAGTTAGGAAGATTCTGCCGTGCGTGCCTTTTAATTTGAGATTCCGACTTTGATGGATGATGGTGGGTTAACCACTGTCTCAGTTTCTAATTGTTTCAATTTTGTGCTGACTACTGATAAACCGGTGATTAGACTTTGGTATTTGGCCATCTGGTCTGGGTTCAATAATTCTAATTGAAATTGTTTGGGTTGTTCAAGTTTAGTTGAGGTTTCTCTGTTAATTTGTTAACCAAATCAGGTGGTCTAAAACTATTCTTAAATCATTTTCAAGTCTATGTCTTTCTTCGTATAAACTTGTAATACACGAAACTTCTGCCTTCTGCTGATGCGAAAAATCAATATTAAACCCAAGAAATTGTTAAGACTTCTGGGTTTCCATGGCTTCGCTGACCTTATACTTACATTCTCATGCTTCAGGTGTATACTGTAACATAATATATATATTCCATAAAAAGTAAAAACATGGAAAACACAAACGATATATATGGGGATGCATGAACATGACATGAAAATAAATATATTTTAACGTATATTCAATACTTATCCATAATTCCATATCAAGTAGAGCCAATAATTACTGTGAAAAGAAAATTAAAAAATTAAAAAAAAAAAAACTTTTTAAATAGAAAGCATGCATCATACTCTTATTTTGTTAGGATGTACTGTGGCAAACATGAAGCGCGTAGTTTATTTTATGGTTCCAATATACTGTATCAACTTTTATTGTCCAACAAAAGAAGATAAACAGATCAACTACTTTTCCTCCAAAACACATTTGGTTTGGCAGATACGAACCGTTGGATTTCACAACTGATCATGACGTCATGTAAGATGACACTGAGATTTAACACCAATAACAATTATCTAATTGGAGCATTAGATGTTACTTTTGATTAGTTTGAAAGGCCAAACATTTTTGAAAGGCCAAACATTGATAGCATATATTATATTAGGATAATACTACATATAGAAAGAAATCTTACAAAGATTTATGTAAAAAGTAATGTGATAAGAAATAAATAAAAAAGTGAATATAAAAAGTCAAACTCATCATATTTACTCTTTTATTCATTTCTTGCCACATCACTTTGTACATAAATCTTTGTAAAATTTCTTTGTACATCTAACATTATTAATTATACTAATTGTTTCAAATATTTATCTGAAATAATATATAACGTGTTATTTACAATATAAAATTTAAGGGTCACTTATAGTAAATATTAAATACAGTAATTTTGAAGAAGAATGTGTAAAAGCCAAGAGAAGCAGTAGTAAATATTTTAATTATTGTTTTGGGGTCAATGGATTTGGATTTGGATTTGCGAATATGTTCTAGGAAATCAACATGTACTTCTGTGGTTAAATAGAACTCTCTTATTTTTCACTATAATTTTGTTTTATTCATAATTATTTATTTGAATGAGGAGAGAAGATTGGATGCATATATCCTGTCCCTATCATTTTATTATTTAAGGTTAAATTTCCAAAAAAAAAAAAAAAAGTATTCGAACGAGACTAATGAAATAAAAAGTAGGAGCTAAACCCTAATTTATTTTTTAAAGAGTTAATGGCATTAATCCTTAGGGGTGTTTAAAATCGGATATATGATCCGGTTTGTTGTTTTTTTTAATCGATCCAGAAATTTGGATCAGATAAAAAAGCTGATTTGAATTCGAACTGATTTACGATTGATTCGGTTTTTAACTAAACTAAATTTTTAGTTTGGTTCAGGCGGGTATCCAGTTTTGATCCGATTTGAAATCCAAAATTACAATTGTGCCCCTATTTGAAAAAACATGAAATATATGCTGAAAAAAACATCAAAAATTTCATTTTATATTTGGTTAGAACATTATGCATAATAACATATAGGATGAAAATAATAAAAAATATTGTTTTTTTTTTTTTTTTTTTTTTGTTGAGAATAATTCTGGTATATTTGGATATAAAAAGTTGTCCTTTTTTAAAACATAAAACTGAAGAAGTAGCATGTACTTCTATCACAATACTAATTCATATATTTTCTGTAGGATCAAGATAGTACAATTTAAAATTAACACATAAAACTGAGTTATCTATTTATACATGCATCCTAGAATTTTATAATTAAAATTTTAAAAAATTACTCATCACAATCCAATTCATAAAGTTTTATAGAATCAAGTATAGTTTAAATTTTTGACATGATTTATGAGTTACCTATTTATCCCCAAAATTTTAATATACATTATAAATTTGCATAATTACATTAAAAAATAAGATCCAAATTGATTACTAATATATATATAATTTAGAACACATAAGCTGTAATATAAAACACAGAGCTGGAACACGTTGGTATCAATCAATCCTTTTACGAAATCATTTAAATGAATTTTATTAAAATCATTTAAGAAAGTGAATAATGAAAAATATCATGTTTTATAAAGGTCTAATGTTCAATTTACTAATTTATTTTATAAAATGTTGAGAATTAGAAAGCGTTGTTTTTTTTAATAAGCTTTATTGAGAAGTAAAAGGTTTTTTTTTTTTTTGTTTTTTTTCTTTGTTATTGATTAATTGTAATCCAATTATTTAATAGTTATTGATTTAACTTTAATATTATTTAAAAATTATTTGGGTTTATTTGGTTTTAGAAACTGGTTCATATTGGATATCCTATTTTTCGGAGAGTCGAGTCGATATCCGAACCAAAAATCCAGATTTTTCAACATTGCAATCAAAAATCCGATTCGGATTTCTGGATAACCGGTTTTTTCTATTTGGTTTGGGTCGGTTAACGGATCCAGATAGGTTAGTGTGTTTTTTTTTTTTTAAATGCCCCTATTAATTTCCTCCAAGGTATGATATAATAATAAAAATCTCTCTAAAATATTCAAAATAATTGAAATTCTCCTAACATGAATGAATTGTTAGTAAGCCCTTAAATTTTTCACTATTATGAGTTAGTAAATATTATCACATTGTCTTCTTACCGTTTATTTTAACACTTAAAACTTGACGTTGGAATAACTTTTGTTATTGTCTCATACCTCGTAGGATTAATCATTAACTCTTATTTTAATCATCTGATAGCTCAAAACCATATCCTGCATCAAGATCGTTCAATATAAATAGAGAAATGCTAGCCTTACAAAGAGAAATACAAAGAGGGGCATACAAAGACAAATCCTGCCCTTAATCTTCATGATTCTCTCTCTCTCTCTCTCTCTCTCTCTTTCCCTTCTTTTAAGCGCAGGATTTGTCTTTGTATGCCCCTCTTAGTATTTCTCTTTGTAAAGCTAGTATAGCTCATATAAATAGGGCTGGGCCTATCTTTTTTTCTTTTCCAATAAAATATTAGAGGCCTAAGACTTGCGAGCTTGGAGCTCACAATGAAACCGTCAATAAATGATAAAAAATGCTATATCCACCGAAAGATTGGTACTGAACAGTTGCATTGAAATACGTGGATGTCGCCACGTTGGACGATAGAACATTGACGTAAATGGACGGCCGTCCAACGATTTCAGACGACCGTTCATAGTGGAATGGATGAGGGTCCATAAAAAGTATTTAAAAAAAAAAAAAAAAAAACAATGGACTCCTGTCCAAATTCTATGAACGAGCGTCCCGTTAATATAGACGGGGTTATCCAAAAAGTACAGTAGATGGACGCTAGTCCATCTATTGTGGATGGTCGTCCATCTTTTAGGGACGACCGTCCGCATGAGATGGACTGCCGTCCATCGTATTGTATCAGCAGGGAATACTGGATATCCTATTGTAAAGTCTTCTAGGAACATTCATGATGCTAGTGTCCAGCCCCCTCGTTCAACTGAGTTGATAGATTCTGGCATTGCAATTCAGAATGATAATAAGTTGCACCCTTTTGGCTTGCTATGGTCGGAGCTCGAAGGAACTCACACAAGACCTACAAATGTGCCTTCTGGTGTGGGAAGGACTGCTCCATACGGTGCGATGGCTGATCCAACTCTTGCTACAGAGACACAATCAGATATTTATATAAAAAACATACTTGTTGACCCCATTGTGCATCAAGATCCTATTGCTGCTCACCATATGCAACGCATGGAACAGGAATCCAACCATTTTGATCTAGCGGAGCAGCTTTTGTCTAAACAATTGCAGCAACATCAGCTCTAACAGGGAAATATGTTTCCTTATACACGCCTGAATGAATCAGTTTTAGAATAGTTGCCAAATCAGAATTTGATTCATCAACAATAGTTGGCAAACCATCCAACTCTAGATATAGAACATCTCTTGACCCTTCATCTGCAACAACAGCGTCAGCTTGAACTTCAACATCATCAATTGCAGCAACAACAACAGTTTCATCAACAACAAAAGCTTTTGCAGGAGCGACAACAATCACAAGCTCAACAGGTGCTTTTTGAGCGGTTGATGCATGGTCAAATGCCTGATCCTGCCCTTGGGCACTCACATATTGACACAATAAGAGCAAACAATGTTCTCGATTAGGCTTTATTAGAGCAACGCCTTTTACATGAGATGCAGCAGCGGCAGATATGCTGTTTCTCTGTTCGGCATTTGAAGAAGTTGAAATTTTAAAATTTTTAACATAATATGGACAGCTGTCCACATGAGATGGACTGGCGTCCATCTAATTTTTTGTTTTCATTTTTTTAAAAAAAAAATTTGTATTGCTTATGGACGCCAATCCATCTATTGTGGACGACCATCCCTATAAAAGGGACACTAGTCCATCTATTATGGACGGTCGTCCATATTAAAGGGACGGTCGTCCATATTAAAGGGACGTCCGTCCCTAGTATTTGAACGATGGTCCATTGATTTTTAGTTTATTTTTAAATATTTGTTATGGACCATCGTCCATTCTTGAATGAATGGCCGTCCACGAAGTATGGACGGCCGTTCGAAAATGTTGGACGGTTGTCCATTTACGAAATTCTTTTATCGTGTCCTACGTGGCGACGTTCAAGTTAGAGGCCACG